AATATTTTTAATATCAAAATGTATTAATTCTCCTTTTTCCCTTATAAAAATGAGTTTTATTTAGAAAGAAATTGAATCGCAGTGAGTGGTGTGGTAAGTCAGAGTCGGTAGGGACAAGACAAAAAAAACAAATAAACAGTAGCAGATTCATCCAATCTTACCGCTCCCTTTCTCTCTCCTTCTTCCCCTTTCTAACGGTAACAGATCTACTATTTTAATTTCCATTGTTTTGGCCGCTCAAATTTGAAATCTTGTTTCTCTATCTCTCTATCTTTATTAAATCCAAAAAGCTCCCATTTTGAAAAATGTTTCCTCCGACACCACTCCCCTATCCTCCTATCCCTTATCTCTTCTCCTCATTTCTCTGCTCTTTTCCTCCCTGTAATTCTAATTTTCGTTCTCCAGATGGGAGCTTGTTTTAGCAAAAAGAAGAAAGTTTCTTCTTCCTCCGCATCTTCTTTAAAAATAGAGGCGGCGGCGCCAAGAAAGAATAATGAAGCAGCCGTCATGGAGTCGCAGGAGATTAAAGTGGAGCAGTCCAACCCCACGATCAAGATTGCTGAGCAAAAAGAAGAGGACAATTTAGTGGTACCCAAGAAGGAGAAAGATGAAGATCAGCAGAGTGTAGCCAAGAAGGAGGTATTCATCATAAAGCATAGGAAGAGTCACGACAGAGAAAGACCTTCACCTTCTCCTCCCCAGAATGCAACAGGTGTTGCAGAGGTCGATGCTAATTCGATTGGTGCCATCAACAATGTTAATCCGGTGAGGACGTCGAGCTGTACCAAGGAGGAAGTAGATGCCATTTTGATTCAGTGCGGACGGCTTAGCCGGAGTAATTCATCCGGGAAGGCGGTTTCTTCTGGGAGAAAGTACTCGGGTTCCAAGAGGAGTTACGATTTCGATCACGAAAGTGAGCCTGCGGTTGCTGATCAAGAATTGAAAGGTAAGGGAAACGATGAGGATGAAGAAACAGAGAGACGCCAGCACCGGCAACGTCACCGGCAGTCTCCTTCTAAGGGAAGGAGGAGGACACCCAGCAGGGAAAGAGAGCAGCAGCAGAGGTCCGGTAGCAGAGAAAGAAGCAGTAGCAGCGGTGGTGGAAGGCGGGTGAGCAGATCCCCAGGGAGGAGATCGGAAAACACACAAGCTGCTACAAGCATCAACACGGCAAATGCTAATGGCAGCAACACCGCAAACAGGCCAGCGAAGATGGTTTCGGTTCCTGCAACTGTTTCTTCCTCTTTGGCTGTGGATAAGAGCAATGCAGATCAGGGTGCTACCAAAAGGATCACTGTAAAAAGAAATGTGGCTGAGACGGCAGTGGCAGGCTCCAGGACTGCAGCATCACCTCGCTCTCGATCCCCTGCAAGAACAAATCCCAAAGGCTGCAACGAAAATCAGCAGCAGCAGCCATCACTCAGCCGCAACTCCTCAAGGAAGGCAGAGCATTCTCCTTATAGAAGAAATCCTTTGGGTGAGAACGACCCCAGCTTATTAAGGAAAACAGAGCACTCGCCTTATAGAAGAAACCCTTTGAGCGAGATCGACCCCAACTCTCTTCAATACCCACAATCTGCCACCGGCACCAATAAGGTACTCCTTTTAGAAAATTCTGGAACTTTAATAAACCATAGTTAAATCCTGTTTTTAATTGACATAAATTGTTTATTGCAGAAACCAAATGCAGAGGTGAACATCAGAGGTAGTAGTAATAACAAAGGTAGCAATGTTGATGCAAAGGAGCAGCACAGAGTGGTGGACGAGGGTAAGTCACAGCCACCATTGACGAGGAGCAGGTCGGCCAGGCGGTCACGGGATTTGGACATCAATCCTGAAACATTGTTAAATCCTGTTCCTCCCACTTCATACACCAGTTTGCTGCTTGAAGACATCCAGAATTTTCACCAGAAGAACACGGTTGCAGCGCCTGCCTTGTCACTTCCGGCGTGCGTGTCCAAGGCTTGCTCCATCATGGAAGCAGTGGCGGATCTTAATTCCACCACAAGCTCTAACCTCTCGGTGGGCAGGAAAATGGGGGAAGGCAAGGACCCTTTCGTTGATCTTATGGAACCGAGTTTTCACAAGTATGTGACAGTGAAGAGGGGTGGAGACATGGAGGAGCAAGAATCGTCTGGGAGTAACAGCTTTGTGAGCAGCGGACAGCATTGGGGCTTTTCTTCGTCGTCCTGGGAACCCAACTCAGCAGAGTCAACTGATCGGTGGAGTAGAGAGGATGATGGCTCAAGAGAAACAAATGCCATTGGGCGGGGCAGGGTAATTCCGGTGCTTACAGCTTCTGCTTTCACATAATAGGTGGGTCTTTGTATTATTTGCAAACTTGCAACCATTTACCTTCTGGTTCATTTGTTGAATTGGTTGTTAATTAGTGAACAAGTGCATTCTTCTTTCCGAGGTTCAATGGTTTAAGTATTGAATGTTTCTCGCACCTACAGAATCTATTTAAATTGCTGCAAATGTTCGTGCTTTTATCTCAACGACCACAACCGGTTTATTAATTTTTTGGGGGGAAAAACTCACAACTGGTTTATAAAAGGAACAAGTTTTTGCACAACCAAGTAAGAAAATTAGTAAGTCATTCTACAAATTATAAACGCCAATGAAAGGCATCAACACAGATCCAAGCCACAGCTTCCCATCCTTCTCTTCCACTTCGCTGATAAACCTCAAAGTTTTCCCTTCAGAATCTTCTATAACATTCAATATTTCTCCCTTTTCACTTAGCTTTATGGCAGTTGCGTGTGGCTTCCCTACCAGCAGTTTGTGCAGTTGCTTGAAGTTAAGTGGAAGTTTTAGCAATGCTTTCCCTAACCATGGGTATGAAACTATTAGATTTGCAAAAAGCCCTTTCTTAGAATGCAAGGCTACCCAAAACTCCCCTTCAGAATTCCTCCTAATATTGTCTGGAAATCCTGGAAGCTCAGCAAAAACATCAGTTTTTCCAGCATTAGGACCTTGAAGCCATAGCCTCAAAATTCTAAAACTAGAGGTCTCTGCTACAAGTACGAAGGAGTGGTCTTTGCTCAGTGCAACGCCATTGGCAAAGGCAAGGTCCCGTAGTAAGACTGTTACTCTTTTGGTTGCTATGTCATATTTCAGCAACCTGCCAGTCTTGTCTCCATTCAAGATTGAGGACATGAATTCCCTGCAAATCAAATATTAGACAACATAAAGGAATTCTTTTCCTCCTTGTCATAGTTTTAAAACGAACAAGATATTGTATTTAGTGACATTTAACCCCTTCACCCAACGACCCCTATCTTAATTCCTCTTTATCTCTTTTCAACAGTTTTGTTTACTTTGGTTTAAACTAATGTATGCTACAAAAAATGACTCTCGAAAAGACTGACAACCTTCCTGTCTCATAAATAAAAATATAAAATGTAGGAATTGTAGTATGTTACCTTCTTCTGAACACCGTACTAGTATCTGTGAAGTAAATCACATCCTCAAGCTCATCAATATCCATATCATTGGTGAAGTCCAAGGGTTGGCCATCAGCCTCTGTAGCAATTGGTGTAGCCACACCTCCTTTCGGTCCTACCACTAGAAAGCCATGGTAAGCATCAGCAATGTAGAGATCCCCAGTTTTCTTATAAAATCGTAATCCCAGAGGCCTTCCACACACATGCTCCTTCTCTGGTGCAAATGGCTGGCCACATTCCTTCCTTGAAAATTATGATCCCATTAAACCAAATCTATGAAAATCGATAATTCACTTAAAAATATAGTACTACCATTGTAATCATTCATTGGTTACAACTTTGCAATGATGCACCTTAAATCCATCAGCAATCTAGACTAGACCTTTCATCAACGGCTGTTGTCCCAAGTTAATCAAAGGCTGTTGTCCCAAGTTAACCAAAGTCTAAACTTTAAACACTAACAATCAGTTCAGTTTACCTCCAAAAGATTTCATTTGCACATACTAATATGCTAAGACAGAACTGCCCAATTCACTGTTATATCTGTGGTTCTATCACAGGTACATATTTACATGGCAATGCAAGCAAGCTCAAGGAGGTGGATAATCACACGCTTTCATAAGTGCAAGTGCATTTCATTTCATGTTTATGGTACCACTCAAATTCAACATAAAATCAATCATTTGATGAATTGTTTGGATTGTTAACAAGCCTTCAAGGTAAGTAAACCCAATTTGGAATTTGAGAAAATTAGATCATATGAAGTTACAAACTTTATTCCCCGCTTTGTGCCACAAATTTATTATTAGCCAACATCACCACCAGTTTTGGCTTTCTTCTCGTGAGTGAGACTAATAACCCACAATGCCACAAATTTCCCTAAATTCTCAAGCTTCAAATATGTATGGTACTTCTTTTGCTCAATCTCAAGAAATAAACTTTAACTTCAAAACATGAAGAAGCAAAACCTAGCCATACTTACACAAAAGAACTACAATCTACTAGTTCAATGATCAGTGACCCATTAGAGCAAACAAACAAAATTTTAGTATTTTACCTATTAGAAGTGGTAAAGGCAAAATCAGTCCAACCGGCATCTCCTTGCCACTTGAGAATCCGGCCGTCTGCAACACCGGTGTATGGGCCCTTTCCGCTGGGGTCAAAAGCAAGGCTTTCAGGTCCAACCGCAGCTTGGACAGGGATGATTTGAGCAGTGTGAAGTCGATCCTGTGAGCCCGGAATTTGAGGCGGATTCAGCAAAGAAATGAGTATGGTTTGGTTGGGGGAAACGAGAATGGATAAGGAGGCAATTAGCGCTGCAGTTACAATTAAAGCGAGCTTAGTTCCCCTAGCCATGGCTTCCTTCTGTACTTACAGAAAGAGACCCGCAGATAGAAGGAAAGGAAATGGAATCCGGTGGTAGGCAGAAAGACTGGCAGATGGAGGAAAGTAGAGTGTTTGACCACCTATCCGTAGATTTTTAAGAGTTCAGTTTGAGCACATCTTTCACACAGATTCTAAAAGATTCGGAGAAGTTAGAAAATGGGAAAAATTAAGTGCTTCGGATGAGAGATTTTTATTTTATTTAATTTGTATATAAAATAGATTTAAAGTATAATAAATATATTTTTAATTAATTTATATTAAAATAAAAATTAATATTTAATTTATAGATATCTAATTAAATTATATTAACTTTTATAATTTTTAAGATTTGTTTAATATGTACTTAAAGGCACAAATTAAATTTCATTAATTATGATATATGTAATTAATTTTATATAAATTTACATATTAGATTTATAATTTTTTACAAATTTTGAATACAAATATCATATTTTATTTTAATTTTTAATTTTATTTTATGGTTTACCTAATTCTGCTTTTAGAGTCCAATAAATGTATTTTTTAATTAATTTACATAAAAAATTATTAAAGTTGATATTTTTTAATATTATTTTAATAATTTTAATTAGTTAATTGATTAAACTGAAATTAATATTTACACTTTTAATAAGAATTAGTTATAAAAAGTTTATTAATTACATCTTTAACTTGTGTTTTAAGGGTATGATAAAAAAAATTCTTTATTTTAATTGAATCTAAGATCAAAATTTATATAAAATTAATTACAAATATTATATTTAATGAGGTTTAATTTATGCCTAAAAGCACATGTAAAAATTTTATTTTTTTTTATATATTTATAACAAAAGATACACTTAGTAAATGGTTTTCCATTTTATATTGATTAGAAAATGGAAAATTTTTAAAATATAATTGAAAAGTGGAAATGATTTTTATTTTAAGATAAAATATTTGCATATAATATTTAATACTTTAACTTTTATAAATTTAAAAATCAATTGTTAATAGGTTTTTTTTGTAATTAACTACTGAAATTTTAAAAAATTATAAATAAAGATTTCTTTTAATAAATTACTTTTTTACTGTAAATTTATATTAAAAACTACGAAAAAATAAAATTATTTAAAATAATTCTTATTGACATTTATTCTACCTAGAATGATTCTATATAGTTATTGCAATCTCTCATACCTGACTGCCTCCATTTGAGGAATTTATTCTAAATCTAATGCAATTCGCTCCACCCTTAAACTTGTGTGTCTTTCTTCTATACATCAACAGGATGTGATGGCTAAGATATTTTTAATATCAAATATCCAGTTACAGCACAAGGTCTTTGCATACAATGTAGATATCTCACCTAGAATCCTATAGTATCTAAGATACATTTATTATATTTTTTAATTAATTTACATTAAATAATTAAAAATTAATTTTAATTTATCACTCATCTAATTAAAAATACATAGAGTATTGGTGATAAAAATAAAGTTAATATTTGTGATTTTCTATAAAAATTAAATGTAAAATAGTAGAATTAATGTACTTTTAAATTGTACTTTAAGAATACAGATTAGTTAAACTTATTAATAATTAAAAAAAAAGGAAAGAATATCAACTCTTTGATGCGTGCCTTTTTTAAGTTTAGGCTACAATTTTTGGGTTTTGAAAATCACAACATACTCATAATGAATTAATATGTGAAAGAATTTATTAAGGGTAAATTGATTGTTTCCTATATTGGACAGGATTGAAAATTATAATTTCTTTTCTTAAAAAGAAAGAGAAAAAAATGGTACTAAAAAAATGAATTTTCAGTATTATTACAAGATAAAGATTATGGTAAATTCCATGAGTATTCATCGACCATGTAATTTGGTTCAATATAATAAGGTCCTCAATCTTCCAATTTCCGACTAGGGATACAAGTAATGCTTATGGGTGCGGGTTGACAGATTGGTCCCTGGCATCCACATATGGGAAGCAAGCCATATTCACAATTGGGGCATGGGTAGGTAAAAATAATGGTGGGCTTCTTTCCAGGATTAGCAGCATGTGGAGTGATGATGAACATGGTAGCCAAAGCATCTGACCTGATGCAGGACTTTAAGACAGGTTACATGACACTGGCTTCACCAAGATCCATGTTTCTGAGCCAAATTATTGGAACCGTATGGGCTGTGTGATTTCACCTTGTGTCTTCTGGCTCTTCTATAAGGCCTTCCGGATCTTGGAACTCCTGACTCTGAATACAAGGCACCATATGCACTAGCTAGTGACGTAAATAACTACGATGTAATACCACTTGAGCTGGTGGAAGATATGGGGAAGTGTGATGGTACAGATGATTGTAATTGTGAAATACCCAGCCAGAGCAAACCATGTAGGAATTTGGTCCTTGCAAGAGATGGCGTTTTTGCTGGAGAGGAGCCGTTAACTGGAAGAGAGTCATTGTTTTTGAGTTGCCTATGCAGAGCAAATAGAGTGTGTGTGAGGACCTTGACGAAGTTATAGAGTCCATCGCCAATGATCATAGCTATGGCTATGAAAACCTGCATGGAAGGATAAAGGAAAACTTGTGATGAGCCCATTGAACTGATAATTGAGATGACTCTACAAGATTTTTTAAGTAGGAAAAGCAAGTTACCCTGTATCCTTGCAAGCTGTGGAGACTACTGTGATCGGTAGTGTACCAATCACCCTTTCCAGCTTCTATAAGAGGCCACATGATTCCCCAAGAGAAAATTGCCCCGAGCGGAAGAGATATATTACTCAGATGCGGGCAGATCATCCCAACCCCAACATAAGTAGCTGAGAAATCAAAATAAAACCTGCCACCAGAACAAAACAAGCAAGTGATGATGAATAATTAAGCAAATTCAATAATGACTCAATGAAATAATTAATTAAGAACGTATTCTAATGGTGACAAATAATGGAATGGAAGACGCTTTGAGTCAGGTATGCTGGTATAGTTGATTTATAAAGGCCGTATGTGGATGTAAACGGATGGATTACCGGCCCCTTGTACTCCTAGTAATGATGTTTTTGATCCATCTAAAAAAAGAATAATGAAATGGAAGTGATGATGAGTGCGTACTTGTTTCAATAGGCTTGGAGATCAAATGTGGGAAGTTGGCAAATCCACAGCCATCCGCTGCAGTAAAGAACCATTGAAAGAAACTCCAAAGAAAGCTAAAGGAGAAGAACTTGCCCAATGCTATTACTTGTTTCCTACAGGATTCATACACAGAATAGAAAGAGGGGAATGAAAAGGAAAATGTAAGATCAAATTAGCTTGTTTACTAGTAATGACTTGAAGTCAGTACACAACAGCCTATGAAAGAAATATAATATTCAAATTAAGACTTAATTACCTGGCTAGCTTGGCACCCTGATGGGTGTGAAAACTACTGATAAGGTGAGCAGTTGCAGCGCCGCTTGGATATGTCAGTTTGGACTTTATAATCATTAATTATCTGAAACATAGCTTTTACCGGACATATGTAAGTGAAGAAATATGCCCAAAGAAAAGAAAACAAACATAATACCTTGCTGCAATAACATATATATATGGTTTGTTTGCTTCTAATGAACTTGGAAATACCCTTCGGAGAGGAACCACAGGAAACAGGCCAAGAAAACTAACAACAAAGAGTAATCCAATCATCCAACCAAGTGAAGGGTTTTTATGTTCTGAGCAGTATTGGATTCATTTGTTTGATTGGCAATAGCTTCGCTCATACCGAAGAGGTCGCTTCCGAAACCTGTTAACTCAAGGGAGTGCGTATTGACAATAAGAAAATTACGACTCTGTAAGGCCATATTAAAAAAAAAATGAAATTACAAGAATTTATTAATTAATACTTATTGGATATAAACGAGGAATCTCCTCCTAATTACTCGGCCATAGAAGACGGTACACAGAGACAAAACTGTCCATTTAGGGGGCGGAAATAGTAAGAAATGCTCCGCTACACAGACAAAAGCCGAAGCATGTAATAGAATGCAAGAAACCGGACAAAGTGGAACGCACCGCTGAAGGCGATGCCCGGGGTGGCGACAATACATGTCTGAATAACGGTGTTTTGCTGTCTGGTAAAAGGTTGTTTAAGGAGACTGGCTTTTTCTAAGGAACTTTGTTCACGTTTTCAAGAGGAAGAAGCCCAAGAATCCGGCCGAGATGTTGAGCGAGGGAATGAGACCGGTGGTGAGGTTGAGTTTCATGACTATGAAACTAAATAGAACCCCAAGCACCAATGCCACCACTAAGTAAGGCCCTGACAGTGATCTGATCTGTCCACGACGGTACCTCCTTGGACTCGAAGGTCCTCTCAATGGACATCTCATCCTGAACCTCCGGCCGTGTCTCATCGGGAGCTGCATCCAAAACAATTCGTCTCCAGTAGAATTAATAATGAATACCATCGTCTCGAGTGGAATCATGCAAGGCCATTTTGCGGATTTGGAGTAGAGAACAAAAGGAAGTTTTGTTTGTTTGATTAATTGCCTCCGAAATTGTGCTAAAGTTTAGGGAGGTAATCCTATTTATAGGGCGTGAAGCTGACCTTGAAGCAACAACCAAGGGGCTTAATTGGTTGGTGTCAAAGGGATAAGTAGGTCCAAAACTAAAGGATTGGGTAATCTATTCTATTTCCATGTTCATTTCTTATATTTTTGCCTTGATATTGTCTCCTCAAATATATAGTAGTGTAGATGAGAAAATTGGAGTTCACGTCACTTTTTTTTTTTTGGCCGTCTCGCATCGTTTTCTGTTGTTAAAATAATCCTATGGTATTACCAACGGCAACCTTTAAGTTGTGGATGTACACATATTTTTCTAGTTAACATTTTTTCTATTTTGTTTGAATGGTCAAGATATTTTTGAAATAATTTGTATATATTTTAAAATTAATTTTTTT